AGGAGGTGATCTAGTTCTCTCTTCTCCGAGCGTCACTTGGATTGGGTCAGGGAGTTTTACTGTAACATAGAAAGTGTTGATGATGTAGGTTCGTTCTTCAAAACTTGGGTTCGCTCTAAGGAAATTGTAGTTGACCTGGACCTCATTCGATCTCTTCTCGGCATTGGCTCTGTTTTCAACGTTCGATTTCCTTTCTTTGTCCGCCCCACATGTGACTTCAATGAGTTGGCCACTGCATTATGTGGTACACCCCGAACTTGGATCCAGGGTGCCCTCATCAAACAGCATGAACTCCTTCCTAAATTTAGGTTGCTTAATCTCATCATTTACGCCAATCTCATTGTCACCACCCATAGCTTAGAAATCAACCAAGACCAAGGTTATACCCTGTACTGCATTGATCACTAGTTGCCCATCAATATTGCCACTTTTATCCTCCGCAAAATGATTGCAGTTATTGGAAACAGACAATTAGGGTTGTCCTATGGTTGTCTAATCAACCGTCTCCTGTCCAAACTTGAGGTTCCTGTCTTCAAGAAAGATGAGTATGCCATTCCAATTAAACCTTTACTAAGAAAACTGTATCTCAAAGTCGGGCTCATGAGGAGTCGTCTCGAGCGGGTCCTTCTTCTACAAGTGATGAGGATCTTCTAGCAGAGGAGGCTAACCTTTATGCAGCGGCGGCCGGTGCCGAGGATCTGAATGTCTATCCTTGGACCATTTCGTGGCCAGTTTCGTCGATTTGAGCAGACCATGTGTAATACCCCTGTTCCGTAATATGTTAATTGGTCCTTAACATGATGTGATTATGTATTTTGATATGATTTTGTGTTCCATTATGTGAAAATATGTGGTTTTGAAGTTCTATCTGTTCACCGTAGGAATATCTGTTGAATAATCTGCCTTGGGAATTAAATTGAGGGCCCTATCAGCCACAGAACCCAAAATTGACTACGCCTTTGTGATTAGCGTAATTTTTAGAGCCTATGGTGAAATTTAATGAGAAATTGATTCTGGTCAGATTAAATTGATTCATTTAATGGCATTGTGCTCAAATTGTTTAATATTCTTAAATTGGGACTCAGGGGGATTTATTGGATAGGAGCATTACACCCCAATTCCCTCCTTTCTTGTATTTTGACTGACCTTGGACTCAAAACCAGAGGAAGGGCCGGTTATAGAGAGAGAAAGGGAGAGACTTGTGTAATTTGGGCTCAAGACTTGGGAATTTGAAGATTAAGCTCAAGATTTGGCTAGAACTTGGGTGTTTAAGGCTCCTAGGTGAGTAATTATCCCTTAAACCATGGATTCTTGTTTGTTATTTGTAAATTCAGAGTTGAACAAGGAGAAAGAGCATGAGTTGGGTTAATTTTGTTGAATTGAAGCTTAATATGTGCATGCATGTAAGAAATTACCTTGAAATTGCATGTTTGAGCACAAATATGTATAATCCATGTAAAATGTTAAAGGAAACTCATGTTTTGACCACCTCTTCACCAAATGAGTTGAGAATGGTGAGCATCTCCCACATGTATGTACAAATTATGGGAGAGTAAGCCTTGAATGTTTGAATTTGAGCATGTTGGTGATGAGTTTGACATATTTTGGGGCATACATGTGAATTATTTGTGAATTGAGCTTCATTAGGTTGTGGTTTAGTCACTTGATTTGAAGTTTGTATAGTTACATATCTGTTAAATAGAAAGATGAATTGGGCCCAAGGCCGTTTGGAACATGTTGTTCTACATTGTTATGTAACTTCTATATTGGATTTGATATTATTCACTGGCTTTCGCTCACGCTCATTCATGTGTTTGTAGGTGAGCCAAGAGAAGTCCAGACCCAGCCTCAGTGAAGTCTGTATGGAACAACTAAGAAATTCATTCATGAAGTTGGGCATTTTTGGGTCCAATTCTAACGTTTTTTTGTTTTTTTTGTTTTTTGTAGATGACTTTGTTGCGTGGACTTTCAGAGTAATATTTTGGTGTATGGAGAAGAACTTTCACTTTTGTATAGAACTAATGTAATACTTTTGTTATCCCCGGCGTTTGTGCAGTTCACTATTACTGATACAAAAAACTTTTGGCAGCCAACAGATAATTACAGGCATGGTACATGGATCACCTTTTGTCGTCGTACATATATATGATTTTTTGTCGTGGTACATAGATGTACTTTTGTCTTGGTACATACATCACCTTTTGTCGTGGTACAGATTACGTGGTAATTTGTACCATGCCAAATAGTCATTTCACATGGTACTAAATGTATTTTTTGTATATGGAAGGCTTTACTTTTTGTATGATTCTATATTTTGTATGAAATTATTATTTTAATTTGGACAATAGTTGGTTTGTGTGTACTTTGACAGTTAAAGTTATTTATTTTTTGTATATAAAAATTGACTTTTGGCGACTAAACAAAAGTGAAAATTCTTGTAGTGTGTGTCAAAGTCATTTATACCTGACGTCATCATTTGGACATAATGACAACATGACACTAGTAGTGGCAACAATGCTATTATAATGGGCTAAGTCGATGATGATGGTTGTGTTTCAGTGGATTAAAGGGCATGATTAATTGAAGTTGGTAACAATAACATTGCTGTTTAATTCACTAATAATGCCAACGAAAGAAAGAGTGAGAGTGAGAGAGAGAGAGAGAATTAAAAACGAGAAACGTAGTTGGAGTGTCATGCGTTTTTGTTAGTGATAATGTTTGAGGTAATGGCAACACAACAACATAATTACATAAAAATGGTGACCAATTAACCGATCAATTACTATTTGAATTTTGACTAAATTGATAGTAATGATTAGGCTTTTATTAATTGATTGGGAACTATGAATAAGTTGGGAATTAATTGGTTTAGTATGGCTTATGAAAACTAATTGATTATTGAATCAATTATGTTTATTATATCAATGATCCCTACAATCAATTGTACAATCAATTGGGATATTTGAATCTCCCTTATATTCTAATGGATTGTACAATCAATTGTGATTGTTCAAAACCCTAGCTACTAATTGATTGTATAATCAATTGTGGTCTTTGAATCCAATCAATTTGGCAATCAATTATGATTTTCCATTCACTTTTATATGCTATACCAATTGATTACATAATTAATTGTGTTTAAAATTTTAAAAGTTATGATGTTTTGTTAATGTTGTTATGATTTTCGGAACAAAATTACAATCAACGTGCTATGTTATGATTCATTGGTAAAAGTTATGATATTTTGTTAATGTCATTATGATTGTGGGAAAAAAAGTTACAATCAATGTGTTATGGTTATGATTCATTAGCAAAAATTATGATTTGTACTACCAAAAGTTATTATTTGTTATGGTGAATCATAATAAAAAATGTTACGATTCAAATGTTACGATAATTTGTTAGAAATAACTACATTTGTTATGAGTCGTTGTCATATTATTATGATTGATAATGTCTTTGTTATGACACCGCAATGTATATTATGACATTGTTATAATTCATTGTAGTAATTGTCATGATGTTTAAAAAAAATTATGATTCTTTCATGTAACTTGTTAAATGACCTGTTTAGTAGGTTACTATTTATAACGTGGCACAATATAAATCACACAATAGGTGCATATCATATATCCTTTTAGAATGTGCACATTGTAAATTTTTCCATAAATTAATCACAACATAAAAATCTCATATTCTTCTATTTTTTCAGTTAAAGAAAACATAAATTTAAACATATTCTTCTATTTTTTTAGTTAAAGAAAACATAAATTAAACCGAAATTTAAAGTACATCAAACAAGAGTATTCCACCCACGACAGTCATAAATACATTTACTGAATTGATTTGGCTATTGTTGGTACACCATGATGAGATGTTGCACCAAACATACACTAGATTCAATTTCAATTCTTGTGGTTCCAAAGGGAGCCACGTGCCCCCAGTTCAACTTCTATGCAGTCTCAAAAACTAGTTCGTCCCGTTGAGTGTAAGTGTCAAATAATTTATGTTGTTGCGCTACGCTAATGTGATGTTGAGCTCTGCGAATCCCTGACAAGTTAATACTCGTTTGATGGATGAAATCCAAGTAAGCCACTGATACTTGTTTGATGGGTGAAATCATAGTAAACACTAGGACCCGTTTGTTTGTTTGTTTGAGATTATAGGGAGAGAATTGGAATTACTAATCTCCTAATGTTACTAATAGAGTGTTTGTTTTAGTATTAGTAGTCCCCTTGAAAGGGAGATTAGTAAAGAAGAGATAAATATGATATTAAAAAAATAGTGAGGAGATTAGAAATTTTTTTATTTTTTATTTATTGAGATTTTTTTAAAAAATATTAATATTTAATTTTTTATATTTTATTATTTTATATAAAAATAATTTAACAATTCATCACTATTAATCCCCTCATTAACAATCCCCTCACTATTAATCCCCTCACTATAAATCTTGTCCATTCTATCTCTGAAAACAATCGGGACCTAGTGATTCAATAGTTGATTTTTGAATGAAAGCAATCACTCTACAAGTTACATCAATCACTCCACGCCAAGTCATAAAACTGAAATACAAAATCACTGGTCCAAACAGGAACAATGTCATAAACTGGCAATTCAGACATGGCTTGTGTTAGAGCTCGCCATGGACGGGATAAGTCCATAAAAGCATATATTGTCATCACCTATTATTAATCTTTGAATATGCGTCTACAGCAAATGCAAAAATCAAACAGCGAGAGCAACAATCACTAATCCACAACCCTTAGGCTATGTTTGTTTGGGCGGACTGGATTAGCATTCCCATGACTAATAGTCCTAGGACTACGAATCCGTTGGATTATGTATCCTATCTTAACTAATAATCAAGTTTAAAATAATTAGTCCGTACTTCAATTGTTTAACTAAATATCGGATTAATAATTTTATTGGACTATTAATCTAGTCCCAAGCTCATGTCCACCCAAACAAACATGACCTTAATCTCCAAACATCAATACTGCAAGAGAAATTTCCACTCCAATTACTAGCAGATCAAAAAATAGCATGCATTTGAATTTCTTAAAAATAAACTTAAACAAGGCATATGCCACATAAAACTCGACTATTAAACTTCAAAATTGTAATTTAGAAAACTCTGACTAACTAACTTCCCCAAAAAATCTTGTTCCCATGTTGGAGGACATCAAAGAAAAAGGTTCCCAGACTAAACAATTTTAAGAATCTGCAATTGTGACCTCAACCTCAACCCCAGGTTCAATAGTGATGGAGGTGATTTGCTTAACCACATCTGGGGAGCTGAAGAGATCAATCACTCGCTTGTGGACACGGAGCTCAAATCTGTCCCAGGTGTTGGTTCCTGTCAACACAAATATTAAGGGTTAACGAGTCTCTTCCAGTCAATGCCACACTGCAAATTTCAATATCATCTAAATGCTGGTCCGAGTATGCTCAACTACAGTAACAACTCTACAAAAATAGTACTAAAATACAAAGTTTAACAAGACACCTACTAAATAAAGATTATTTCATGTTTTAAAAGGCTTCCGGTTCCTAAAGCTTCCAAAAGATAAATTCCGAGAACATTCAAGTCTAACGACAACGTGGTAAAATTAGAGTTTTCTAACCAAACTCATGTCATTTTAAAACAAAATTTTCAAACCCAAACAATTTTGTACCTGTTTCTCAAATTCATGTTGCTTTGTGAAATAGTTTTCAATTAACTTATTGTAATTTTTTTTTGAAACAGTGCTTACAAAAAAACTAAATTTAAGAAGTTCATTCAAAACAACTCGCATATAAGCAATAAGTTTTGTAATACCTTGGGTTAGGTAAACAAATGCATACAACCACAAGAGGCAAGAAATATTGCAACCAGTAATGTAAATCCAATCAAAACATTCATTCACAGAACAATCAACTTCTACCAAAGGCTAATGGAGTCTATTTGGATGCTGAAAAGATGAATTAAAAAGAGAATAAAATAATACATACCTTAGTTCAAAAAAATAAATAAATAATACATACCTTAAGCATAAGAAAAAAGCATTACCAAAAAATTGAAAAAATTGTGTATATCCATGGTAAGCGATATACGAAAGAAAAACTATATAACATAGTCTCAAAAGCTTCAAAAAACTAAAGACAAGCCAGTCACATATGCACCATCTTACTAAAAAGGGACAAAAGAAGCCCGAGGACACGACATGATTACATGTCTCAAATGCACATTGTTATTCCAAAAAAAACGTCATGTGAATTGGGCAAAGGATTAAAAAAACTTATCTTCAAGGCATTTTCCTGTTAATCAAGCACTATAATAACCTCAAGAAATAGATTAAGATATTTCTAAAATCAGTACCTTCACCACACGGGGCCTTCCTGGTAGTGATATGAAGAACCTTGGTGGGCATCCTAACAGGTCCCTTCACCCTCAACCTCTTATCCTTGGCACCACGAACCAAATCCGCACACACTATCAGTCAAAAACAAACAAACAAACACAAAGAACAGGATATCAACACCTCATGGAAAATTTTCACAAACAACCTTCACTAACAGAACTACCATTAAAAAAAATCACCAAAATTCTGAAATTCAGAAAAGTTTCAGCATCTAGAAACACATAAATGAGATTAAATTCTGCAAGGACGCACTGCAAAACACCAATTTTACAGTTAGCCAATTAAAAATTGCCACATAAGCAAAAATTAGTAGACTCCACAACAATTTTCCAGTTAATAGACTCCACAACAATTTTTCCCTCTGGTTTACCCTTTCCACCACCTCTTACCTAAACCAACCCGCTCATCCCCCACCACAACCTCAAATCATTTTCCCTAAAACCCCAACCCACCAAATTCTTTGGCCAATCAAATGGAAGAATCCATTGTAGTTAATCACCATATCTTCCAATTGAACCCATAGTCATACTCACAGTGCACGTATTTTGACAAAAACACTTTGTATGATGGTGTTTGAATTTGTGACAAGTTTCAGCAAAAGTGATTTTTTTTTTGGCAGTGCTGGTGGTTTTTATCAAAAAAGGAATCCAATTCAAAGAACATCAAATGGGAATTTGTGTTGGGTTTTTGGTGAATGATTTGGTGTTTTGGGACAATGTTTTCTTGAATCTTATTTCTTATGTTTAATTCAATAGGAATCAACTATCAAGTTTTTGCATGAATGATGGATGGTGGTGTTTGCAATTGTGAGTAGTAGGGGCAATGACAGGTGTGGGATGGGAGAAAAGTTGAAAATATAGATCAGGGAAGGGGAAAATGTTATTGTGTGGCCCAATGTTTCTGAAAATGTGACATGTTTAGATTGGCTATCCATAGAACTCCACTACTACGGTACAGACAGGTATGATTCATTCTCCATGTAAATACACATAAATGGCACATACAAGGGCAACGGCAAGTAGAAGTTAGTGACTTCAAACGAACCCCCTAAACTTTGAAGATCAATATTAAATTTGTAATATTTTAAAAGTTTCAATGGAGTGATAGCTCTAACTGAACCCCCTGTTTTTTTCTCCCTGAACCCTCTTCTCTCTGTTTGGAACTTTGGATTTGATGACTCCAAAGTGCCGTCCTGTGTTTTCTGTTTGGTTTTTTTTTTTTCTTCAATAATTCTAAAATATTGTGCTTTCTATTATATTTTAATATTGGAACTAGAATATGTTACAATTAGTTTCCATCTCATTGGTTGAATTTAGTGCCAAGGTATAACTTGTGAGCCTAATATCAAAGTGTTTTATTTGATTTACTAAAATGAGATGGAATATAATCAAATAATTTATTTGCAATGTATTTTTCATTATGCTTTTAGTCAATCAAATATGAAAAATAATATTTTGATAGAATAATCATTCCATTTCACTATATTCCGAGTAACCAAACACTACCTTATTGTTGGATTAGTGTCATCTAGCTTAGGTGCAGGCTTAAAAAGATTTTTATTTGTAAAAAATGTTCTGAGACTCTTCCAACCCTAGCTTCATTGGCCTCATCCCTGCGTACGCCATTGTTCAACAACAACAATGATCCAAATGATTCAATAAAAGCCAAAAAAAACTAAAAAATTCGATGCATAACCACAAGATCGACGCCTCGGTCACAGAGAGAGAGAGAGAGAGAGAGAGACCTGAAGATGTGAGAGGAGAGGTGCAAGGAGATGGGTATTGAGAGCCGCTTGAATCTCTGCAGAAGCAATAGGAGCTCTGATAGGTTGTGTGTGGAGGTTATATATATATATATATGCAATTTAGGTAGATGTGTGTGGAGTTTATATATATGGGCAATTTAGGGTTAGGGTTTTTTCATTTCATTTCTTTTCTTTTTGGGTAAATTGTACTCACACCCCTCAAATTTAGATTTATTGTCGTTTGGGACCCCTATCATTGTAATTATTTAGACGAAATTAATGTTGGTATCAAAAAAATATTAAATTTATACACCCTCTATTTTTTTGCTTTGTTTTACCTCTTCTATTTTTATATTTTTTTCCTTTTATTTGCTCTACTTTTTTTTTCAATGTAATTTCTTTTGTTTTTTTATCAAAAGTTGTTGACTTTTATATAAGTAGGGGTTGTAAAATAAGACTATTAACTACAAGGGTAAGAATGTAACTTTCATAACATCAGGGGTGAGTTGTTACCAGACCAAACCTCAGGGGGTGTCAGTGCAATTTACCCTTCTTTTTTTTTTTTTAAGGATACGTAGAACAAAGTATGAGATCATAATGGGTTGGGTTGACTGACAAATAAGTAATTGGGCCGTGCTTGGAGCACAACCCATTATACTGATTGGGTTGTAGCCTCATGTAAATGAACCATTTGATTGGAATGTTTTTTTTTTTTTTGAAATGAAAAAAACAATCCTAAAATTTGTTTTTTTGGTTATAAGAAGGCCAAAGCCAAGACTAAACAAGAAGAGGTTCAAGGAGACATGATCCTTGTTTATCATTCTCAAGCAAACTAGATAACACCAAAGAGGTTACATCAAGAAATTCCTACTAAAAGTCGACCGGTAAAGAGCATTCTTAGCAAGAAAATCTACACTTGTTCGCTTTACGCCAGATGAGACAAAGTTTACAAAGCCAATCACGGGCGACCAAATCACGAATGGCCTGACAAAGATTAAAATGTGGATTCACTGCACTAACTGAATTGATCATATGAATAGCATCCGCACAATCAAACTCAACCAAGATTTTACGAAAGCCCATGTTCCATCATAATTGCAACCCCAACCAAATAGTCCATAATTCCACAACAAGAATAGGAGCATTGCCTACTTGATGCCAAAAAGTAGCAATCCACTTCTCATTCTCCGATCGCACAATGCCCCTGGCAAGCAAGACCTTTCGAAGTTAGAACAGAATCATCAACATTGATCTTGATCTATCCAGAAGGAGGCAGCCATGGGGAATGAACAGGACCTTGCTTACCCGAATGAGGTAGATTGAGTTGAGGTTGTTGTACTTCAAAGACTCTTCCTTTAATGTAGGCAACTGGATGTTGAGGCATGGAAAATTCAGGAGAATGAATTTTTTTGTTGTGCGAAAACCAAATGGAAGAAAGAGATTCCATAAACAGTAAAGACCAGCTATATTGGTTGGAACCAAACCAAGCATTATGGTAGAGGTTGCAATCCATCCTTAACAAGTGACAATGAGAAGAAGTGTAGCCAGCACCAAGGGAGAATTAGCACTTCCCAAATCTGTCTTGGAAGTTGACAATCTCTAGGAGCATGAAGCGTGGTTTCACTTTGGTGGCCATACAAAGGGCAGCTAGAGGCATTACTTAAGTTCCTTCCAAGTTTCATTGCATTAGTAAGGATGGAACCTAAAATTTAATCCTTATAACAAAATAAATTTTTAATTTTTAATTTTATCAATTTAACTCTTAACATTTTAATTTATTTTTAATTTAAACCGTCTATCTATTTTCGTTAAGTAAAATCAATAATTAAAAAAAAGAAGAAGAAGAGATTTTATTCATTAAACTTAATAAAAAAAATTATATATTTTAGACATTTCATGTACATCTACATTGAGTTTAATAATTAAAATACTATATTTTCGTCGATTTACTTAACAAAAATAAACACATGATTTAGATTGAAAACAAATCAAAATATTAGAGTTTAAATTGACAAAATTAAAAACTCAACATTTATATTGTTATAAGAGTCAAACCTTTTTGTTGTTGTAATTTTTCCTTTTTATTAATAGTTTTTTTTTTTTTTTTTTAAATTAGTTTTGTAAAGTTGTGTCGAAATATTTAGTATAGTTTTTGCATATAGTTTAAGAGATAAAATGATTTATAAGTTAATTATTAGAAAGTTAGAAAAAGGGGAATTTATTATCTTCTATGATAATTAATGACATTTTTCATCAAATATTATTAAAAAATGTCACTAATTATTAATTTTCAGTGACAGTTTTAAAAAATCGTCATAAAAAAATTCATTAATTTTTGACTTTCAGTGATAGTTTGCAAAATTCATCACAGAAAAATATCACTAATTTTAAGTTTTAGAGACAATTTATAAAAATCGTGACAAAAAATCATTAATTGTCAATTTTTAGTGACATATACAAAGGATTGTCACAAAAAAAAATTAGTGATGGTTTTTTTAAGATTTATTTTCAATAGAACTTGATGGGAATTAAACCTAATTATTAAAAGGTATTGGTAGTTTACTTTTAGAAAAATGATGCTTTTAATTTTTAAGTCAATCTAGACCCTGGCAATTATTCAAGTGGTAATGAAAAGAGAATTTAGGTATCAAAGATAGTGAGGTTTGATGTTCAAATATATAAAGACACAACATACATTGTAATCTAATTACTATTATACTAACGGTTATCAGGAGGAAGAAGAAGAAAAAAAAAAAAAAAATTATGTCCAGATTATCAGCTTTTAATACACCAAATGGAGTCATTATTCCAATAATTCAGATCAGCGGCTTGAAACTGATTAATGTGTTGAGAACAGATTGGTTATGTCAAGTCAATTGACCAATCATTACTTAATAGGCACAGCAGTGACTGTTGTGCCTCATTTTGAGATGTATTATGAGTTTATTTTTATGATCTGAATCGTTCAATTTGTAGGATTTATTAAGTACTTCATGCCTACCAAAAATCATATTAATCGGATATCAATAACTATATAATCGAATTACATATTTTTATACTATTTTTCAAAAGAAAAACTTCTTGTTTATTTTTTTTTTTTTATCAATCATATAGTTATTGATATCCGATTAATATAATTTTTTGTATGCATGAAGTACTCAACAAACCCTACAACATGACGGCTCAGATTATAAAAATAAATCCATAATACACCACAACATGAGGCACAACACCTAATTCCCCCAATAAATATGTTTACAAAAATGTTTAACAGCATTAAAAGTAGAGCTCTAATGAGAGCTCTACTTATGGGAATTGGGATCACTACTGTGCCTTTGGCACAGAAGTGACTGTTGTGTCTCATTTTGTGGTGCATTATGGATTTATTTTTATAATCTGAACCGTCATGTTGTAGGATTTGTTGAGTACTCATGCCTACAAAAAATCATAGTAATCGGATATCAATAAATATATGATTGATAACCAAAAAAATAAACAAGAAGTTTTTATTTTGAAAAATAGTATAAAAATATGTAATTCGATCATATAGTTATTGATACCCGATTAATATGATTTTTGGTAGGCATGAAGTACTCAACAAATCCTACAAAATAAACGATTCAGATCATAAAAATAAGCCCATAATGCATCTCAAAATGAGGTACAACACTCACTGCTGTGCAAAAGGCACAGCAATGACCCCAATTCCCTACTTATGTGGCAATGGTCCCACTCATAAATAATTTGATGAACAATAATGATACATCCATTTTATTTGAGAGCTCTAATTGAACATTAATGAGGTGAAAATTCAAAAAAATAAAAATAAAACTAAGGTCAAAACATTACATCAATGAGCAGGGTCCACCCCCAAGAACTCCTTTAAAGCTCATAGTTTAGAGTTGTCAAACATTTTTGTTTGATTTATGTATGTGTGTTTGTTTGTTTTTTTTCTTTTTTTTTTTTTTGCGCTCCATGCCGCATCATTAATTCCATTGTTAGAGTTCTAAATTTAGGCCATATTTGTTTGGACGAACTAGATTAGGTTAGATTAGCATTCTCATGACTAATAGTCCTAGAACTACGAATCTTTTGGATTATGTATCCTATCCTATGTTTGGATTGAGTTAGGATTATAGAGAGGGACTAATAGTTCAGACTTTGGCGTAATCCTCCAATTTATATCTCACCCCCCTCTCTAGGATTAAATAGTCCGTCATATGTGGGATACCATATTCAGATGAATTGTTAATCCGTTTTTCAATTGTTTAACCAAATATTGGATTAATAATTTTATTGGACTATTAATTCAATCCCAAATTCATGTCCATCCAAACAAACATAACCTTAGAGTTATGAATCATTACTCATATATATAATGGTTATCGCTTTTCATTGATTCATAAGGCATCTATAATCATCCAAAATAAAATAAATAAATAAAAATTTACTGGATTGATTAGCTACTATTGGGTATCCCATGATGAGATGTCGCACCAAAACCAACATCAGATTCAACTTCAAATTCCTGTGATTTCAGAGTGAAGAGCCAATTTTAAACAACCACCAAGTGCCCACAATTCAACTTCTATTTAATCTCAAAAACTAGCTGAACTAGTTGAGTATATATAAGTTTAGAATAATTTATGTTAAGCATTGGTATTAAAAAGAGAAATTTGGTTATAAACTCCTCTTATCTTACTTTTATTGTTAAAATGACTAAAAAAAGAATTATACTTTTAAAACTCCCTTATAATTATAAAGTCTTGTATAAAGAACAAAATTTATTATTTAAATATTTTATCAGACTATTATACCCTCAACTAAATCTCTCCTAATCACCATCTTTATCTCTCAAGCTTCGTCTGATACAACTATTGCTTTTCCATAGACGATGACGCCATGGCTAAGGTTTCAAAGGAGATCTGGATCAAAATAGTAAAAGTTCATTCTCAATCAATGGCTTCGTTGTTTGCACCTAAGGAATAAGCTCTCTGTCTCAAGATCTGAAAAAATCATCACTTGTAACTTTCTCTTCGGATGATTATGACGATGAGCAACACCAATTGACGATGGAGATCGTGGAGGTATGAGAGATGATATGCGGATATGGTGAAGATTTGTGGAAGAGAGTTGTGTGTGTGTTTGTGTGTGTATGTGTGTGAAAGAGAGAGAGAGGACATAATAATGATTGAAGACGCAATAACTATTTGATCTTCGATATATGTTGATTAGTTTTTTTGTTTTTATTTTTGATTTATTCTTGTTGATTTGCCGAGTTCAATCATGTGTTTGTTCTAAGTTTTGTTTGACAGAATGAGAGTAAAATTTTACTCTGGTTTGTACTTTGTTTTTGTTTGACAGAATGACAGTAAAATTTTACACTGGTTTGTGCTCTGTTTTTGCTTGGCAAAATGAGAGTAAAATTTTACTCTGGTTTGTGTTCTGTTTTTGTTTGATAAAATGAGAGTAAAATTTTACTCTGATATGTGCTCTATTTTTGTTTGATAAAATAAGAGTAAACTTTTACTTTGGTGTCATCTGTTCTTTTTTTATTGTTTTTTTATACAGTGATAGTAAACTTTTACTCTGTTATTGTGTGCTTCTGTTATTTGTTTTTGGACTCCTAGTGACACTAAAATTTTACTATCAATTCATTGTAGATTTGAATTATATAATGATAGTAAAATTGTACTTTCAGAGTAAAATTTTACTTTGAATCATATTTACTCTTATTCAAAATAAAATTTTACTCGAGTTAAAAACATGTTGATTTGCTTAACGATATAAAATTTTACTTTGAATCAGAGTAAAGTTTACTATGATTCAAAGTAAAATTTTACTCTGAAATTTTGCTCTGGTTAAAAACATGTTGATTTGTTTAACGATATAAAATTTTACCTTGAATTATAGTAAATTTTACTCTGAATCAAAGTAAAGTTTATTATCATTCAAAATAAAATTTTACTTGGAAATACACTGTGAAGATGGCTTAATAGGAGAGCTGATAGATATGAGGGTAATATAGTAAAAGAAACAAGTTTTAAAATATTAGGGGGTTTTGAAAATACCTATATAATTATTATCCTTTTGAAAGATAAATTAGACAGTGAGGGATCTATCACCAAATCTCCCTATTAAAAATATGAATTCATAATATTTAAATTCTGAATCTATCTCGTTAAACCGAAACGTGTTTCTACGTGTTTTTTAAATTCTTGATTTTCCTAACAAAATCCTCCATTGATGGAAGCCCCATTAAGATGGAAAAGGATTAGATTTGAGTCCTGAATTATTTTTGTTGGGATAAACGCTTCATTACCTTGCACTTGGTTAAGTGCAGTGCCCAGCCTTTCTTGCTTGGAAGGGAAAAGAAAAGAAAAATGATAGAGAGAAAAGAGAATTTATTTTTTTGTTTGTTACAACTAAGAAAAATTAGAAAATGAATGGAGATTTCTATAAATCAAAAAAAAAAAAAAATTTAATTCTGTGTTTGGTTTTCTGTGAAAAATGTACAAGTCATTGTGTTTGGTTTCAATTTTCTCGATTCAATTTTTTGAAAATTAAGTTTTTTATTTTTCGTATTTTTTTGTTTTTAGTGAATATTTTTAAAACTTTAAGTAATTTTTATTTTTTTTAGATACACCTATTTAGATGTATTTAAAAAGTAAAATATTTGTAAAAAAAATATTTTAAAAAATCAATAAATACACAAGAATACGAAAAATATACTGAATTTTTTATTTTTAAATTTTTGGTATTTAGTGAATTTTTTAAAGATTTTTTTCACAAATATTATACTTTTTGAGCGTATTTATGTTAGATATATCTAAAAAAAATTTAAAAAAAAAATTGTTTAAAATATTTTAAAAATCAATGAAAAAAAAATTACAAAAAATAAAAAATTTTAATTTTTTAAAAAATGAATTTATAAAACTCAAACCAAACAAGCGAGTGACTAAAAAGTAAAAGAATTTCTCCCAAACATAATATATAATTGACTTCTACAATATTTGATCCCAAAATCTCCCATCACTGTTTCAAGATTCTTTGAAAGCATATGTAAACCCATTCATATAACACCATGTGATGCAAACTCGAAACATTTAAATGATATAAATTTTGATAGGAGAGTTTGTAATATGTTTAATACCTCAAAAGAGCGGTCACAAATAATTATGTATAGAGCTGGGCTTCCATTTAAACTATGCGGTGTTTTAAAAAGTTGGTAAAAAGTTAATTTTTGATTTTTTATCAAGTTTTTTAACTTTTTGGAAAATGATTTAGAAAGTTGATAAAAAGTTAACTTTTTATTTTTTAGTTTAATATTTATTTATGGTGTCAAATCAAACTAAAATAACCAAAATACCCTTACTCAACATAAGAAATTTATTTTTTTATTTTTTTGTCATAGGTCTTAATTTGTAATTTCACACTTACGTTTTTAGCCCTTCCCAAACTAATTTTGTTGCGTTTTCGGAAAATGATAAAAAACGTGACTTTTTATAAAAGTTTCCAAAACGACACTAAGGTGCTGTCGTGACATGTGATTCTATTATGGATTCAAACCGTTTATTTTATAAAAATCTCTGCATATATTATTCATAAAAAAAAATTATATCAATCTCATAATCATAAATTATTCAATTTATCATGTTTATTTATCAAAAAATTGAATGATATATTATTAAAAACATACTTACCAAATTTTTTAAAACAAGCACAATCAAGTAAGCAAGTTTTGATTTTCAGATCAATTAATTTTTTTCAAAGGTTATACATCCAAGGAATCCTGCAAAATGAATGATTCAGTTAATAGTTCAAATTTTGGCCCAGAGGCAATCTGTTCCCATTATAAATCAAGGAAATCATCCATCGATTACTAGTTGATTCACTTGCATGCAAAATGAATGATTCAGTTAATAGTTCAAATTTTGGACCAGAGACAATCTGTTCCCATTATAAATCAAGGAAATCATCCATCCATCACTAGTTGATCCACTTGCATATTCTACAATTTAGGAGAGAATAAGAATAAAACAAACCAAACAAAACCAAAGTGTGGAGGAATTTTTTTGTTATAAGGCACCAAATTTCAAATAGCTCCGCAGCCACCATAAAGAGTTAGGCTATGAGGCAAGAATAATTCCAATCAACATTGCAGACGTACTAGTAAAACATCGTTCTCCAAGAGGAAAGGGGAGTTGAAAAGCACAAGAACAAATGCTGTAATAATTTAGGCTTAGTTTGAGAAGATTAAATAAGTGTACTTTTTAACTTTTTATGAAATATGAGTTGGGTTTAAAGTGATGTGCTAGAGAGGTGATGTGACTTAAATAAGATAATGTGACTTAAATAAAATAGTGACTTTTTAACTTTTTAACTTTTTATCTTTTTTCAATCATGCCAAACTTGGCCTTAATTTCGAACATCCAAAAGTTGCTATTCTGTTATCCAATTCCCAATCAAAATAACAAAATCCTTCAGAAATTATGAGTCACATTCTTGTCTAAACAAAATTTTCAATCTAAGAGAAGACTATCTTGGGTAATTAAGAGCAAAAAGAAGGCGCCCATGCCTCGCATAATAATCCCAAAACTTGGCTGAGCTGGTATGAGCCAACCTAAGCAACGAGCGTGCTGGCAGTGGTTGACTCACTGCAAATGAGGAGCTTTGAGTTAGCATAAAATCAATAAGCAATCAGCAAAAGAATAGTTATTTAAATAAAATGGGGAATTACATTAACGGTTCCTATAATTTGGGACTTGTGTCATTTTAGTCTCTGACTTTTCAATTGTGACACATTTGACCCTAAATTTTGAATCTTGTTCCAAATAAAGATAATTGTAGATACTATTTGATTTTTCAAAAACAAAATCGTCAATTTGATAAAATATAAATTAATTTGACAAAAATAAAAGTCAAAAAATTATTTTTAAATTTTTAAAAATTATTTCTAACTACTAAAGATAAAATTATATAAAATTGTTAAATCTTTTAGACATTTATTTATTTTTTTATCAAATTAATTTTTATTATGTATTTAGATGATGATCATGTAAAATTAATTTTTAAAAATTAATCATATAATTTTTATCAATTTTATATAATTTTATTTTTGGTGAGTAGAAATAATTTTTAAAATATTTTTTTGACATTTATTTTTGTCAAATTAGTTTATATTTCATCAAATTGGCAATTTTGCCCTTAAAATTAAGTAATTGTATGTTTAATTGTCCTTATTTAGAATAAGATTCAAAATTCAGGGTCAAATGTGTCACAATTGAAAAGTCAGAGACTAAAGTGATACAAGCTCCAAACTATAAGGACTATTAGTGTAATTTGTCTTAAATAAAACAAGACACAAAGAAAAGAAAAATCAAAAGAGACTGATAACTTGATAGACACTGATCTAAAAATAAAGACGGTGAACTTCTGGTTTCCCACTTGTATCATCTTCATGAAAGCAGAGGGAGAATCATCTCATGAATTATAATGCGTTCATTCACCTTCCCCCATAAAATGCGGGTCAGAAGCATCAATAAAATTAGAGAACAAGAAGGGGGAGAAAGAAATGCATATAATTGCAACTCACAAGAAAATAATACTAAAGTTTGGCATACACAAAATAATTCATCTTTTTATCTTTTTATTTTTTTTCCATCACATCACCACTTTACTTTTCTGTACATCTTTTTATAAAAAGACAAAAAATATACTTATTTAGGTCATTCCAAATAACCTTGGGAGATGGCACTTATAAGCACCTCTTTGCAATCCAACAAGATCTCACCAAGATTTAGCAAAATTGTTAAAAACAAAAGCCCAAATTTCAAAAAAACACAGTAATAATGCTAAGCTGAAGAAGCAAAAACAGCATGCATGAAATAATTACAACTTTACATCTTGTATATCGGAAGTACAAAATGGGGAAAGAAAAAAAACAAAAAAAAAACATGGATTCTTTACAACATTCCAATAATATGTAGAGCCAAACACCCTAAGTTCACTTAACCTAAGATTCGTAAAACCCAAAACCCAACCTAAGATCCCTAAAAGTCAAAACCCAACTCCAAACATGGGTACAACCAAACACTACCCATCAGCTAGAACTGATAGATAGTGTTCAGTTACACATATAAACATGTTTTTTTGTTCTTAGAGCTGATGGATTAGGTTTAACTTAGGAGGTGTTTGGCCCTACATATTACTTGGAATATTATTTTCTGACGCACACAAATTATGAATTTATTGGTATCATGGTAAACTTTCAACAAGGAAAACAGTTAAAATAAGGAGGCAAGTCTTTACAAACTGACTGCAAAAAAATATAAAAAAAATTAAAAAATATATATAAAAAAAATTTAAAAAAAAATATAAAAAAAAGGAGCAAATATGTAGGGCTTGTTTGGTTTGTTTTTGGAAGAGTTGTTTTCTAAAAAAATTTGGAAGAGTTGTTTTAGAAATTTTTTTAGTTTGTTTGATTGTAAATTTTGAAAGTTGTTTTGGAGTTTAAGAGTTTGGGATGATTTGATATTTTGTTGTAATTAAGGAGATGTGTGTAAGAGAAAAAGTGATTGAGAAGGAGAAAGGAGAGAGAAAAAGTGATTGATTGATGTGTAAGAGAGAGAGAGAGTGATTTTGAAATTTTTTTGAGAAAAATCTCAAACCAAACAATTTTTTGAAATTTTTTTTCTAAAACTCATCTCTAAAACTCAAACCAAACATACCCATAAACTCCCTTAAATTATCATAACAAATTTATTAAAATATGACAATGTAATTCAACAAGCAGTCATAGAATATGAAGAAATAGGGATAACATTACAAACCAGAAGAACATGCCTTGTAAGGGCATCTCCAACAGGGATAGCTGAAATAGCTATCCAAAATTTCACTTTATTATTTTAGCTAGTCTCGTTTCGTTTGTACACTCCAACAAGACTCTTCTTTAACTATCTTCCTTTAAAAAAATTCTTTCTTTTCTCAAATACAACTATGGCCCCATTTGAGAAGTGACTATTTTAAAGATTTTTTGACTATTTTAGTAGGCTATTTTAATTTTTGTGTTTGGGAAGATGAGACGAATTTTTATTTGAGTTATTGTATTGAAAAATGTGTTGAGATGATGTTTGAAGTTAAAATGACAAATTTGTCCTTAAGATTACAATTTTTAAAATTGATATAAAAGGGCAAAATCATAATTTACCAGTTGATGTAACAATTTGTCAATTGACAGTGTAGGCTGTGCCTACACTGCCGGCAGCTGCAACCTTTTTTTTTTTGAAAAATTTTGAACAGTGAGACTTTTTGGCTTATTTGTAAATTTGAGGCTATAATAGCCTCAACCCTTTCTTCCCAAACAACGCCTATATATTTATTAACAGTTATAATTTTGCAACTATATTATTTTTCAAGGGTCATGTTTTCAACAGCTACATTTAAGACAATAATGATATGATATTCTCATTTTATATTATATTTTATTTATCATCTCATGTGTCAACACTGCATTAGTATTAAACAAAAGTATTGACGTTTATTAAACTAATACAATATTAACACATGAGATGATAAACAAAATATGATAAAAAAATTTGATTATCATATCATTATTGTATTGACAAAGATTAACAAGAACAACAAAAAAATATATTTAGGCCAACTTTGGCATCTCCCCAAAAAGTCAAAAAGTTATCACTATTCACTAAAAAAAATATTAAAAAATTAATTTTCCACACGTCCATACAACTCAGCAATCATGTATGGCTGGCGTGGTGCAGCATTTGTTCAAAAAAATTGCACAGTTTGGGTGCAATTTTTACACACTGTTGTTCGGCCCATGGGAGCCCATCACTGGTCCCGTTTTGATAATCTGAACCGTTTAATGTGTAACTTGTTGAGTACTATATGTCTGTAAAAAATCACATTAATCGGATATCGATAACTACATGATCAAATCAGTTTTGTATAAAAAAAAAAGATGGTGTTATAATTAACGATTGAAAAAAAAACAATCTGATCAGATAACTATCGATATCCGATCAACGTGATTTTTTATAAACATATAGTACTTGACGAGTTCTACACATTAACGGTTCAAATTATCAAAATGGGACCCACGATGGCCCCCACAGGCCGAACAAAACCGTTCAGTGGCGTCCAGTGCAATGCCCGAAAAGTAGCCAATAATTTCTTACCATCAATCCGGCTATACAGATTACACGGTTGGACAACACACATCTCTAATCTTCTCCTACACACTTCTTTATACAATTTTTTAATACACATTTTTTCATAAAAAGTCAAAAAATTAATCCAAACATCCATATTTTTTTCCTCAACTTTTTAGTCCAAAAGGGCAAAAAGTGATTGATGGTAAGAAATTATTGGCTAATTTTCGGACATTGCATTGGACGGTTTTGTTTGGCCCGTGGGGGCCATCACGGGTCCCATTTTGATAATCTGAACCATTCAATGTGTAGAACTCGTCGAGTACTATATGCCTATAAAAAATAACATTGATCGGATATCGATAGCTATCTGATCAGATTTATTTTTTTTCAATCGTTAATTATAACACCATCTATTTTTTTATACAAAATTAATTTGATCATGTAGTTATCGATATCCGTTCAATGTGATTTTTTATAGACATATAGTACTCGACAAATTCTACACATTAAACGGTTCAGATTGTCAAAACGGAACACGTGATTGGCCCCCACGGGCCAAACAGCAGTGTATGAAAATTACATCCAAACTGTGCAATTTTTCTTAACAAACGCTGCACAATACTGAGCATACATGATTGTTGAGTTGTACTTTTGTGTGAAAAATTAATTTTTTAATATTTTTTGGGTGAATAGTGATAACTTTTTAAATAACTTTTTGACTTTTTGACTTTTTAAAGAGATGCCAAACTTGGCTTGAAGCAATGATAATATGAATGAAAGAATATCAACTAATTATAAAAATGTAAGGCTACTACACAATGTTGTAGCTCAAAGTCAATTCCGCTAGGCGGCAAGGCTCTTGGAGATGAATTTAAAGCTTTTGACTAGACAAAATAGCAAAACAAAGAAGTAGCAAGTTTACTATGGATGCTTAGAGCCTCCATAGTGAGGCTAGCTAAATCATCAATTTACCTAAAATTGCTGGCCAAATTTAAGAAAAATCTCTGCAATAAACCCGTCAAAAGACTAGTTTATTTTATATTATATTTTATTTATCATCTCATGTGTCAACACTATATTAATAATAGAAAAAAGTGTTGAAACCTATTAAACTAATACAATATTAACACATGAAATAATAAACAAAATATGATTAAAAAAATTTAATTATAATATCATTATTGTATTGACAAAAATTAGCACAAAACAAAAAAAATTATATATATTTTGAAGCAATGATAATATGAACGAAAGAAGATCAACTAATTAAAAAAATTTAAGGCTACAGAATGATGTACCTCAAAGTCATTTCCGCTAGGCTTAGGCAACGCTCGTGGAGATGAATTTAAAGCTTTTGGCTAGACAAAATAGCAAAATAAAGGAAGTAGCAAGTCTGCTGCGGATGCTCTAAGCATCCACAGTAAGGCTAGCTAAACCATCAATTTAGCTAAAATAGCTGGCCAAACTCAAGAAAAATTCCTCCAACAAACCAGTCAAAAGACTAGAGAAAATAGTTTCGTGCTACAGTAGCTAATTGTGTTGAGCCACTAAACACTAGCCACTTAATTTTTATTCTTAAACCATTTATTCTTTCCTTTTCTCTCATTAAATGAATATTTTAAAGAAAGATAACTAAAATAAAGAATACGATTGGAGTGAACATTAAAAAAGTGACCAGTTCAAGTAATAAAGAGGCATTTTGCTAGATATTTTGACTAGTATTGCTAGAGATGCTTAGATTGTCTGCGCAGCAAAAATAGTGAGGAACAACACAATTCAGTCAACAGAATATTCAAGTATAATACAACTTTTAGAACAATTTGACTAGACATTTTAAACTTGCTACCTAAATTTATGATGCATTTGGAGGGATGGAATCAACATTTTGAAACTGGAATTGAAGAACATATTGTTTTAGATTTGCTATGCTTTGGACCTTGAAATTGTGGAGAGAAAATTACAAACAAACAAACAAACAAAAGAAAATGAAGTGGAAGAAGCAAAATTTATTTATTTTCTCAGTTCCTAGGAAAAATCTAAGAAAATAAACGGATATTTGTCAAAAACAAATCTTTTCTTTGTTACCTACCCATAAAAAAAAATAAAAAATAAAAAAAAAGAGAAAGAAAAAGAATATGTATAAGAAATTTCATTCCCTTTCAGCATTTAACCCAATCCTTCACCTTTTCTTTCATCAAATTTAAATTTGATGACAAAATGCTCAAAAATCATCTCTAATCCTTACATCATCAAATGAGAGTCATTTGTTTCACCAAATTGAGAACACACCAGATTCGAATTTGATGAAAATTTAAAAGGATAAATCATTAGAGATATTTTTTTCATCGAAAAAGGGAAATTATTTGGGATAAGATAAGAGGGCAATTTTTAAAAGATTTTGATGAAAATTTGATGAAAGAATTGGTGTAGCTGAATCAAATCAAGCTTTTTACTCGAATTTAAAATCAAATTAAACAAAAAAATTGGTGAAGGGTTGGAGATACTCTTATGAAACCTAGATCCAGTCTTATTAAAGCAATTTTTACAGTAATTCCAATTCCAAAATGTGGATTGTCCAAAGTTCTAAAAAGTAATCAAATGTGGATTAGCAGCTGACAAACAAACACTATAATACGAATCACAAAAGAAATATATAGTTTACGTACTAACAGTACAATTCAAAGATAAAGATGATTAAAACCAACAAAATTAGCGAAGACCAGGCTTACTATTTCCAGACAGGAGGGAGCTTCTTTGTTTTCTTGTAGTATCGAGCAAGTCGGTGAATCCTGCTCTCGACAAGGATCAGCCTAAACTTGGAATCTTTGTCCTTCCTGTTCCTCTCCAAATGCTTCCTGATTGCAACAGCCTTCTTGATCAAGTGGTACAGATCCTCAGGAATTTCCGGAGCAAGCCCTATCGAAAATGAGAAGAAGCAGAGGAATGGTTACAAATGCAAAAGCAACATTCTCTCGGGAACCAAACAGAGATTTGAAAATTTCACCAACCGTGAGCTTTGAGGATACGCAAGATCTTGCTTCCGGTAACGCTCTTGACCTGAGCAATACCGTGAGAATCACGAAGAATAACTCCGATCTGTGACGGAGTCATACCTTTCTTCGCGAATTTGCAGATGTTCTCTTCAACCTATACAAAAAAAAAAAAAAAAAAAAGCAGAAGAAAATCATCAAATAAGTACAAAACCATATACGTATAGAGAGAGAGAGATTAGGGTTTCGAGAGAGACATCTGGAGAGGAGATCTTGAGCCAACTGGGAGGAGTTCTCTTGTAAGGCAGTGCCGAAGCGGAGATACCCTTACTGAGAGCACATACAAACACAGGATCAGAATGAGAGAGAGAGAGAGAGAGAGAGAGAGAGAGAGAGAATTGAGGAGACAGGGAGAAAGATACCCGCGACTATGCATGCGACCCATGGTGACGGCGGCGAAGCTGCGGCTAGCTGCTTCACTTTCTCCCAACTGTAAACGAAAGCTACAAACCCTAGAGATCTCTCTCGATCGATCGATCGATGGATTTTATGTTAGTGGAAAAAAAATAAGAGCCCTGCTGGAGACCCCAGCAGGGAAGGACCCCAGCACCCCCCCTCTCCACGTGGGAGACTGGTAATGGCCAAAATCTTAAAAAAAAAAAACAAAAAAATTATTTTTTTTTGGACTCAGTGAGGACCCCAGTAACCCACGGAGGGTCTCAAGCTTTATTCAAAAAATAAATTGATTTGGGACGTGCCAAAGTATATTTTTTTGACATTTTATAAACGGATTTGTAAAAAATAAGAAAAAGATTATTGATTAACGTGATCCAAATAAACGTACTTATGAAAGAAAAAAAAGTGTACTTACTTAATTAAATTCCATTTGGGAGTTAGTTTGAAGGGTTTTTTTTTGTTAAAATAGTCATAAAAAATAAAATAAATTTTTTAATTCAATAAAACAAAACATCACATTCAACTCATAATCATTACATTAATTCTCTCAGAAAAAAGTCAAAAGCACTTCTCAAATCAAGTTTTTTAGTTTCAGGTTAAAATAGCAAAAAAAAATTAAAAAGTCAACCCACTTCACAAACGAGCTTTTAATTTAATCCAAAAATTAAAAAGTCGACGAAGATATAAGGGTCATTTTAATTTTATTAAATATCTTTTCATAAAAAATTATTTTAAAAATACATTTTTTTTTTCTAAAAATTTAAAAAAATATACTCATATAATATATTCCAAATAACAAAAAAATTAGTATAATTTTAAAAAATAATTACATAATGATATACTTGATGTATTTTAATAATTAAAGACACAAGTTTTTTCAATACATCTGTAACTACTTTTCCAAGTATACACTAAACTCAAATAAAAGAGCAATGGTAGAGGGTCACAAAAAGTGTGGCTCAAATGGCTCAAAACTGCCAAAACGACGTCGATTTGACATTTTATTTGCCCAAAACGACGTCGTTTTGACAATTTTGAGCCATTTGAGCCACACTTTTTGTGGCTCTCAAACATTTTTCCAAATAAAATTGTACTGTGTGCCTAAAATTGGGATTGGGGAGGTTGCACGGCTGATGGAACTTTTTTTTGGGTTTTATTACCACGATTCGAACAGTTCACTTTTTAGAAGATATCGAATAGAATATTGTACGGGGAAGAAATAATTCTCCTCGTATAATCCTGTTGACTAAGTCCACGCTTTTCCGTACGACGTCGCTTTGTCACTTGAAAACACAAACGTGAGCTAGCCGGCGGGTGTGTGCCGGAAACCTCTCCGATGCCTAAGTCAGCAAACTTGACAAATAGACAAAGCTCAATGTATTCAGGAAGCAAAATTGGTATATCGTGTTATGTTACCTCCTCCAAGGTGATGCTTGTGAGCTTTTATAGGTTTCGAGTGGCACAATCCTAGTAGGACTTTTATTTCTCCATGCAGAGTCCTCCTAGGATTCATACTCCTAAAGGATAATACTTATCCTTTTACACCCCCCACTGCTTAAACCAAGTGGGATGGTTTTCACCATAGCTGAACTACCATTTGACCGAAGTAAACTGGCTAAGCTGAGCCACAAGGTAGGCCGAACTATCCTTAGTTCGGCCCTTCTTTTTACTCCTCATCTCGATTCTCCCATGCATGAACCATGATATGTTGGGACCGAGCTACCGAGTAGCAAGGTCTTGACCGATCTATCCAGAATACGCCATGACCGGACTAACTCGGAGACCGGACTAACTCCAAGTTGTCCAAACCGAAGTAGCTTTACAATTCCTGAGCCGAAGTAACTTCATATCTTTTGACCGAAGTAACTTTATTTCTCATGGGCCGGAGTAACTTCTCGGCCCATTTTACCCGGTCCTTCGTACTTTGGGGCCACAAAGTCCATCTCACAGCTCGGCCCAATTTTCACCAAAAATTACCCTCTCAATTGCCCCTTAATTCCATCTGCACAGCATGATTGGGACTACCAGTCTACTAGCCGAGTTGGAGTTTTTAAGTTTTTCTAGCCGAGCTAAAAACCCTTTAACCTCTCCAACCGAGCTAAAAACTCCTAAGCCTTTTAAGTCGAGCTAATTTTACTTCGGACTCTGTTTTGTCCGGTCAAAAACGTCTCTTCAATCACGACTGTAACGCTTCCCTTTCCAAAGACACGTGGCGGGCTCTAATAGGCTGTGAGTAGCTGTCACGCCGCCCTCGTACCACGAAATTTTTGAACAGTCCCGCCCCTTTTTGCCGCTCGTTCTTTTCACAAAACATCCTTTCCATCCTTGAATCATTCACCCACATTTTTCACCCTCTTCTCTCTTCGTGCCTCTGCTTCTCCAATCCTGAGTTCGTGTTCATTTGCTGCTACTGTTTTCATCTTCTAGCTTCTTCCTTTTTACTCTGGTAGGCAAATCTAACCTTCTTGCTTTGTTTGTTTTTGTATTTTGCTTTCCATGTTTTTGCGAAACATATTAGTCTATTTTCTGCTTTGCTTCTGTATTTTACTGGAAAAACTTTACTGAACTCGTGCGTGTATGTAATATCCTGTAGAAGACTAGTCTTTGATCCAAAAACTTGTCCCAACCGAACTAGGATACTGTTTTGTGCTATATAGGTAGATCAATATAGAAAATAACCGAACTAAAGCTTGTAGAAATAACAGCAGCTTCAAAAAATAACCGACTTCCGATTCACCTTAGCCGAAATAAGATCACCGAACGAAGTTTGAAGACATTAAACTAGGAACCTCGGTCTTCAACCGAGCTAAGCCTTTGGGGCTAAGCCAGCTTTCTTAGTTTTTTAGACCGAACTCAGAAAGCTGCCCCTAGACGACGAACCGGCCTAACAAAGTCGTTTCCAAAGCAAGTATGCTGAGATGCCTTCCAAGATTTGATCAATTACGAACTTTGCTCAAACCGAGCTACTGAGCATTTTGCTAAACCGAGATAGAACCCGTCTATAAAGCCGAAGTAGGACTTTTTTACCTCGCTTTTAATTTGTAGCACGGTTCAATGATCTGTGCTTAACCCCTGTGTTTTTTATTTTGCAGACTTAGGTTGCCCAGGCACTCCTGCGTGCGCTCAACCGAGCTACTGAGCACAATATTTGCACCGAAATAACTTATTCTTAAATTATGCGATAGATGGGGAAGTATAGATATTTAGTAAATACTCCGGGCGGCGTAGCCGAATTCAGGAAAGACTACCAAATACCCGACGACGTCCATCTGGTCCTGGCCGAAAAAGACGTCATTCCCTGGGACAATGAAGGCTTCGTCCCCTTCACCCTTTTATCCATCATAGAAACCGGACTACGGTTTCCGGTTCAACCGTTGATCTGTGAATTTCTTACGCAGACCAGATTATGCCCTACCCAACTGTCCACCAACTCCTACCGCATCATCATGGGAATAGCCGAACTAAACCGCCAAGCCGGACTAAATCTTGGCTTGGCCGAAATTTTCCATCAATACTCCATCGGCTCAAAAGAAGATGGGTGGGTCTATTACCTTAGGATACGCCGCCGCCGAGAGAAGATAAAAACTGGCTAAGCTGAGCCACAAGGTAGGCCGAACTATCCTTAGTTCGGCCCT